TGCTAGCTCGGACAACCTCCATCACCTTCTATCCCCATCAACCATTGCAATCCCCACGGTTTCGATGTTTGCTACGGAGTGCAATGATTGCTTGCATCTCGGTCTACTCCACGATACAGCCGGGGCTAGTGCTGGGCATCAATCGCCATTGACCGGGGACTGCTGGTCATTACCCACCTCTGCGCTCGGGCGGAAATTGAGCAACAGCAGGGGATTGTCCGCTTCGGTAGCCCCACGAATCGCAGCCGCTGGATCATGCGGACGGCTCGGACTCGCTAGCACTCTCTGGGCGCGACGAGAGTGAGTTGCCAACCGCTAGCCTGGATTCCCCGACATCACTTCGGCGGTTGCCAGCTCAGTCGAGAGCTTCGAGCCGCTCCCCACGCTAAAAGACCATGCTAGTTTGTGATGGACCTGATCCCTTGTGCTGTTTGCTTTGTAGCCGCCAGTCCCTTTTCCTACTCTGTTCCCTTCCCATTGTGAGCAGTTTCAAAATTTGTTTTCGCTCAAACCTGACTACCAATAGTGAGCGAAGAAAGCAAATTACCGTATTGGGCACCTGAACTGGGTCCGTTGAAAGGCGCAATCACATTCGCCGTGGCGTTTGCCATACGACCGGGTGTACAGTACGAGGTACAGGTTTGACACGAGCTTGATGCTTTATCCCCTGCAACCACATGGGCGTTCGAGGAGCCTGCATCGAACCTCTCTGGAATTTCCACGTTACTTTCCGTCAGGATCCATCATCTGAGGCTCCGACCACGAGCATGGCTGTCCAGCTGCGGTTTCAAACGGCGCGTACTGAGGCGTCGAATGCATCAATGGCATTCAATGTGGCTTGTTCATGCAGGTATGCTCTGGTATAAAAAGGAAAATGATTCTTTTACGAGGTATTCAACCGACACGCACACACACTTGTTCTTCCACCTGTCTGTTTTCTGGCGCCAGGGCATCGTTACTCCTTTCGGAGCATGACCTTGACCCGGAAATCTATCGGTTTAACGAACCAATAATTCACGGTATCCCATTCACGCTCGGGATGCTCCAGTTCGAAGTCGAACCTCCTCACAAGTTGTGGGATCAATTTGGACATCTCCAAGAATGAAATGTGTCGACCTATGCACGTTCTCGCTCCGAGTCCAAACTGATACGGTGTTAGCAGAGGGGTAACCTGTGGTTGACGAGATCTCACTTACCGGTAGGTAATAAGCATCCATCATCTTGAGCTTTTCACCGTCTTCCTTCTCAGCTTCAATCCATCTTTCGGGTCGGAATCGTTTGGCATCTGGCCCAAAGACGTCCTCATTATAGTGAGCACACCAACTATTGAGTCCAATAGTGGTGCCTTCAGGAAAGAATTGACCACAAATCTCCACGCCGCCTTCAGGTACAACTCTCCACAATGGCAGACCGGTGGCAGCGTGCATTCTCAGCGCCTCTTTCATCACCGCCTGCAGATAGGGCATCTCCTGGCTTTCTTTGAACGAGACAGCTGGATTGCCGCACCTACCCTGCTCCTCGAATTCCTGAATCTCCTTTCGAAGCTTTCGCATCGTGTCCGGATACCTGAGCAGGTTGTATAGGATCGAGGATAGGCTCACCGCGGTCTAGTGTCCTCGACGGGATCATGTTAGCATGCCGATCTCCAATTGCACCAGAATAAATTCGATCGCCTCGCATACATCTGCGTGGTAATTGGGGAATCTTACCGTGTCGGAGCCGGCTATGATATTCGACAAGCCCATCATGAAGACATGATAAGGGGTTACCTTCTGCGGATCATGCTGATTTGCCACCAGCAATTTCTCCAAAAAGTCCATCGGTGCATTCTCGTCTCTTTCCCCAATCTTCTCAACGTCGACGCCGGTTTTCTTCTCTTCCTCTCGTTGTCTGATCCTCTCACTCACGTACTTCATCAGCCACACTCGACCTTCACCGCCGCCAATCCCGAGACGACTCGAAAGGTTGAAGATCAAGGGATGCCACTTGGCGTACACGCCCACGAGCGCACCGTATTTCAAGACACTGTGCAGCGCCTTCAGCAATCCCGAAACATCCTCGCCTTTATCCAAAAAGCCGAAGCGTTGAGAGTAGGTAATGTCGCCAATTACATCGAATGCATAGCATTGAAACCAATGCGCCATGTCGATAGTCTGACCTTTTGCGGCGAATTCAGACAACTTTCGCCCAAAGATCTCGGCGCACGAGTCTACATAGGACTCGTAATTCACCAAACTCGACATCGAGTACATAGCCTGAAACCTTTTGCGGGTCTCTGCATGCCTCTTCATATCCCTGTCCGGGAACAAGGTCCAGCGGTTTGGGTCCGGATGCTGCCACGCATAGTACCAGTCGCTCTTTGGGAATTTGGAGTTGATACTGTATACCTTTTTGACCACTTCGGGGTGATCAATGCTGTACATGTCCTGCCCGACTCGGACGATGGGCCCGTATTTCTTGTGTAGGTCGAGGTCATCATGTTCCCAGTGGCCCTGAGCGACTCGCCAAAAGTAATAGAAGCGGCCGAAGCGGGCAACGAAGGGACCCGGGACGCTGCGAAGTGGAGATGTCAAGGTTTTGTATAGGAAGATGGCGATTTGGCTGGTGAGAAGGAAAGCGGTGGCCCAGAGGGCATAGCGGAGGAGGATGCCTGTGGGCGAGGAGCCGTCGTTCGCCTCAACAACGGACATGATGCTGACGGTGGGTGGGTTTCGCCAGTGCAGCGGGTCTCGGTGTCGATCGATCTCGTAGATGTACTGGTCCTTGTACTTGTTCGTGATCGAAAAATGTCTAATTACGAATTTACTCGCTGGCCAAATCCGGTGTCGTCTTCCTGTTGTACGTCCCTGACCTTGCAGGTCCGAGATCTCTCGGACAGGAAATGCGCCGCTTTGTGAGATCTGGCAAACGCAGTCCTTGCGGAGATATGGAGCAAAGTACCGTTCTTCCGAGCGCCTTTGCACAATTGCCGATCGACGCCTTTTCTTTCGTTATGGAGTAGCTACCAAAATCGGCGCCAAACGGAGTCAGCAAGGGACTGCGAGGACAGAGGGAGGGACGGAGGAGGAGTAAGCCAAACGATGCATTTATATGGGTGTGTGTATGTGTGTGAAGTGTATATACTCAGCGGAGTACTCGTCAACGTCTAGGACGGGGATAGGGGGTTCGGGGGTTTGGGTTCTTATTAGTTACTGTGTATGACTACCTACCGATAGTACTATGATTATGATGATGTCGATCGACTTGTAATATGTAAGATCGAGGGCGGGGGGAGGGTACCCTTGTGGACTGGGATTGGAGCAGAAGTTAGAACCTAGCAAACGACCTCGCGGCTGTTGTCGCGTCGTCTTTCTTTCTCCAAATGCCGATGGCACATGTCCCCAGGTAGGTAGTGATTAGTTCGGAGCCGGTAAGCTGTGTAGCCCGCCACCCATGGCTATGGAACTAGCACCCCGAGATCCGCGGGGGAGTGGAGGTTTTGGGAGCGAAATGTCCGAGTTTCGTCTTCTGCCTGGCGTGTACGAGGGACAGGGAACGCGTGGATGAGTGAATACCGCCAGATGAGTTGCTCCCCCCCCCAAAAAAAGACCTGTCTGTGTGACTTTATCTCGCAAGTTCGGGCCAGTATCCGCGCATTCGTGGTGCTACGTACCTGTACCTTCCGTACGTAAACATAGTGGTGCAGGTGTGTATGTAAGCAGAGGGGAACAGAAAATATTGCCTAGGAGGGAAAGAAAGTAAAAGTACACGGTATAGCAAACGTCAGGAAAGGGCGCCTGCGTCAGAAAATCCGGCATTTGCTCTCGTCCCTATCTATGCATGCTCTGTTCGCACAAACAGGTCTCTCATCCTCTTCCCCTATCTCGCACGACTCAACAACTAGATCCGGCGTTGGCCGCGTGAGCGCGGAATTTGAATCGAGGTGGTGTCTATATCTCGGTACATGGATTCTGGATTCCGAGGGCAGGGCCTGCAGGGCGGAACCATCTGGTTTGTTCTATTTCGATGATTCGAGGCGAGGGAGGTATGTAAATCCGGGGGGGAGGAGCCAAAGCCGGATGGTGATAATGCGAAGGATTTGGATCTGCCGAAGAGCTAGGGAGCTTAGCTAGGCGAAGCGGATCTCAGCCTTGTCTCGGACTCAGCGCGGGATCGGATGTGAGCTCGGCAGATACAACCAGCATCCTTGGGCCCATTTTAGTATTACTGCCTCCATTTGGCTGTGCTGACCTGACATGAGGCTTTCGGGGATGAGCCGAGCGGGAAATATTTTGTGCGAGTTTTGTCGAACTTGTCTTGCATCTGACATTTTGCGGAGCAAAAGTCGTTGTTGGATGGACTTGTCCGCCGTAATACCGAACCACCATCACTGAGCGAGGTTGATACCTCTTTCACATCTTCCGCTACCTTCAGATCCTGCCGAAAGCCACTCAACTCGTGATATAAAAATCAGTCGACGCGAGACAAGGTGAACTGCAAGCTCAGCGATGAAATGGCTGGATGGACCATGTAATGGATGAGGGAAAATACCAAAAATAGGCGCGAGATTGTTTTCGAACAAGAACTGTCAAATGACCACCATGGATCAAAGAACAGGAAACGGACCCTGACGTGTTGAACTCTCTGTTCTCCCAGGTGGAATTGTCACCACGCAAACGCCTGTTATCCATACCGAATTTATACATAAATAGCAGAATCGTTGAGGTGACTTTGATGCGAAAACAACTTCTCCACGCTGTGATTGCAGTTGTCTCCTTGGGATGGTCGTAACCATTTGACCTTGAACTGCTGAATGTGTGGCTTTGGCAAACAAGGCTGAACGGGGACATTTAGAAAACATGAAATGCTTTCGAGTTCCGACAAAGCGTGGACCTATGCCTAGGAGTTTGCTTTGACATTTCCACCTTCGACACTGGTTCCCAACCGAGTTCTTAATCGCAGACATGCTTGCTCAGTGCTCACGTTTCGAAGCCATTAAAGTATGATGGCGAAGATAATCCCTAAAAATGATCCACGTACGATGCTGGGGAGCCGGCAAACATGACGGTGAGAATATTGAGATTGGTGACGAATGGGCTTGTGGAATATCTCAAGGCCTCTTCGAAGGACACAGGCGGATTTGGTTGAATCGTCTAGGAAAGAAGTACGACAGAGCCCAGAGAGAAGACACATAGTACCTGCTTACCTTCGGAAGCGTTGAAAAGGCCGAGTAGGCTTCCATGATGTCCAAATCAGGCAAGGAATCCACAAGATGAAGAGGCTGTCCATCTCCTGGAGAGAGCATTGATCTCCTGCTTCAAGGTGTCGAGGTTGCGACCGTTTTCGATCTGCTCGCGTGTTCTCCCACACACAAATCCCTTCGCCATTGTCCATGATGGCATCCATGAGTTCCTCTTGTCTCTCTCTTCTTCGCTGCGTCCTAGGTTGTTGGAAACATACTATCTCATGCCCTGTCTTGTCACCTCCTAGGGACGAATGCTTTGCTAGAACAGAAGGCGTTCGTGGACACAATATATTCTCTGCTGGAGACACAGCTTGACGTTGCTCGGTGCAATCGTGGTCTAGCTGCAGAGCAATTCGACCAAGCACTTGGTGCTTGAATAGCTGCCCGAGCTCAAAAGCATCGTCTTTGGAGCATGAAATCAGATTGTTTATCCGAGATTGAACCTCAAAACTGTCTGAGAGTCAGTCAGGTTCACACACAAGAGAACGGTGCATCCTACCAAACTTGTAAAAGGGGTCAGCTACAAGCATGGAGAAAGTGATAAGACGAGCAGAAAACTAAAGCAACCTATTCCATCTAATGGATGCCGACAACTTGTGCTGGCTGTGGGAGCTGCTGGGGCTAGATGCTGCTTAGAGGGCTTTGTATACAGCAGCGCACCGGGCGCAAGCCTACACGGCCAGAGTTCCAAATCTCATCGTCATGTATCGAATGGTGTTCGACCTAGACGAGGTCTCTCGTTCCACTCGAAACAGAACACCCTGCTCAACATCGTGCATATGTATTATATTGGCCGAGTGGCCTCTTTCTTTTAAGCAGTCCTTCACCACTAGAAGTGCTACCAAAGTACCTCGGCCGCTGTCGGCGTTTTCGACGTCATTGGGCCAGATGGAAGCATTAATTTGTACGGCAAGGGTGGAGGCTCTGCGGTTGAGTTCTTTGCATGATCGACCTGTGACTTGGTAAGGAGTTCGGGAGTTACGTAGTTGATGGAAGGTTCTGTGGGCACAGTGCCTGGCGAGCTGGGAATCTCCAAGTCACAAAGTCACGCTACCTGGTGCGCAGTCACCACAATGGGCTGAGGGCCAAGTGGGCTCGCACCCCACTAATTGCTGCCCCTGGCGATGGCCCTTGTGCTGCCGCGTTGACGTCATACGATTAATGGCGTAGCAAATAGTTATTTCTCGCAGCCTCACACGATCCCACCACGCAGTCACATTGCGCTCTGTTCACACCATAAACGAAACTCATTCTTGCAATCATTCTCATCCTGAATCGAAACCTTCAACGGCATTCTCAAGGTCAGTCCTTTCAGACACAACTTCTTTCAGGTAGAATACCCGTTTGACTGTCGACAGCGTCCATCCACCCCACCAATAGGCGCCCTTTCCAACAAGTTTGACTTCAAAGGGTCGTGTGATCACGCAATTCCATCTTGAGCAGTGTCTCTCAGTGTCCTAAAACTCCATCTCCCCCCATACAGCAACATGCCTCGCGGAGTCGGTGAAGTCACCAAAGTCTTCTACAAAGGCAGCACCGACGACTTCATTGTCTTCGTCGAGTCTCCCCAAGATCTCAAGGCATGGCAAGCCGACCACTCGATCCCCCTGGCCCAGGTGGTGAATAGCTTCAAGATTATGGTCACCCACAAGCATGGTGCGCAGGGTCCGCTGGACGGCGCAAGTAAGGCCAGTCTGGAGAATGAGTTTGGTACCAGCAATGAAGATGAAGTCATCAAGAAGATCCTCATGGAGGGACAGCCACAAACTGTGATGGTATGCCTTTTCTCACTTGTTTTGCTCTGTCTTGGAGTGCAAATGTGCTGACTACAAGTTCCCTTTAGACCGGTGAACGAGGAGGTGACCGCAATGAAACCATGGGCCCAAGACAAGGACATCCCACTGCGTAGAGCCAAGGACTAAAGTGAAAGTGTTCTACTTGACGTGACATTTGTCTCATCATTTGACACTCGGCGAAGTAGTGGAGACAGCGATGACCGGAGCAGCCTGTGATACAGAACCATGGCGGTGAGAGGTTGGGACTGTGCATCGACGATGCTGATACGGAATCGAAGTTGATATCACGGATATCGTGCAGTCACAAAGCAGCTCGAGTACCAAAGACCAGCCATCCATAGCTGGCATAGACAGCTGCGAAAAGGAAAAAAAAAAAAACCCCCCCAACAAAATCCAAACAAAATGTGAGCTGCCAAACAATTTCAATGGCGCTTGAACAAGCACTTTTTGGGCTCTTGCACTTTTTGGCACCTTTTGGACTTTTTGTTTTCTCTCTCAGATCCAAGTCATACCGCAAGCAAGGTTATACCCGCTATGTATCGCTGTTAGAACCAGCAAGCATGAACGGCTTAAACGGGAACAAGCAAGTCCCATGCCCATGCGGTACTGTTTTGACCCTGCACGCCCATGTACTCCTTTCTTTGTAGCTGGCCTTGTGAGCAGCAAGCCACTCAAAAATAAGCACTCCGTCACATTTTGACGCGAACTGTGGGTATATTTCAAGACTGCTCAATAACGCCGAAGCGGCCGCTATCATATAGAATGTAACCAACAGTATATAATGAACGACAGAGTACCACTATTACTAAAGGTGAACAATATACCTATTGTGGACGAAGGGTGCCTTTGATCTAGACCGTAGTGCACCACTCTACTTTGTCAGACTGTGTGCCACTCACTTGATTTTGAATCTGGCTTGCCGTACTGTATCACCTAGCTGCAGGCGCCAATATCTGCCCCAAGAACGTCGTCACACACTGCTGACACTACAAGGGACAACCTATCGTGGAATCATAACCGTCTACCAATGGTCAAGGTAGCTGGCAAGGCACAAATCCGTGGGCTTGACGTCCTACCTGAGTGGTTGTGTCCATTGTCCCTCTCGTTCCCGCACGCGGACGACTAAGTCTTTCAAGCTAACATGGATGTCAGTGAGCTCACTCAACATGCGCCTATAAATCACGTACGGCTTGTAGACTTTGTCGTAGTAACGGCTCAAGACATTCTTGTACGCCATTTCTCGGTTTTTCCAGGGGTTCAGTCGCGAGTATTCGCTCCATTCTGCGCCAAAGTATCCTCTTGTGTGCTGCAAACAAAACTCAATCGCTTGAGACATGCCATCGCCAACAGCCTGCTCGGCTCTGGTGAGCAGGTTCGCTATCTGCAGTCTCTGCCGTTCAGTGGTGTTGAGCTCCGGTAGGCAAGTCTCCAAGCACAACTGCCTTGGCTGATTACCCTCCCTGTCGTAGCTTGCACTATGAACAGGTGCTGACAGCGCAAGCTCGACCAACAAAACCCCAATTTTGAAGAGTTGAGGCTCGACGTTATCGATCCCATTGTCGATCCTGGTTTCAAGAGCTTCGGTGTCGGGAACGTTTAACACTATCTCCGAGGCGTGGAAGACCTCCTCTGTTCTGGGGCCGATCAAGTTCTTGCTCCGGAAATGATGTGCCCATTGTGTGCCCAAGAGGATCATCCCGTTGTCCGCAATTAAGAATGCCATCTTCACACGCTCTGGCCGCAGTAAAGACTGGTGCTGGTGTGCTCTGCTCTCCAGATAGCCATACAGGTTCACTTTGACGTGGTCAGCGGGGATGTCGTTGTCTCTTCTTAATCTGGGTATTGCCTCTGCGGCATTGTAAAGCTTGCGAAGTCTGAATATACTGCTGAGCACTGCTTCATCTGGGAGACCGGCTTTGAAATCGCAAAACGTCCCGTGTACGGTGTCCAGAATGACACATGCGTCTTCCAAACTTCTTTCCGTGTCCACATTTCTTCTGGTACCACCGCCGGGATGTCTCACACTTCGGACTACTCGATCCGCCTCTGTAGGCCAGGGAATCTCAATCCGATAGTCTTGATGCGTCGGAATCTCATCTGTCAGTGGTTTGTCCATTGCCCCAAGAGACATTGCGAGTGACCAGCAAGGCTTATTCGTGCGCCGATCTGCGATTATCTCGCGTCTCGTCTCTGAGACATTGTTGCACGCCCAGAACAGAAGTTCAGAAGCGAGCTTCGTAGAATGCACATGCTCCAAAACAAAATGCTTTTCGACAACGTCCAGCCTTGCTTCTTTATGATCTGAACCGATTTGACTGCCCCATCTGTCGAGGAAAAACTGCGTCGAGTCCCGTGCCAGAGTGTTGTAAGTCGTCTTGATCTCTTCAAGAATTGCCTCTAATTTTCCAATGTGTTTCTGCATGAACTTGAATTTCTTGACCTCCCCAAGTCGATCAGCTTTTGCCGCAAGTCGCCGACGGTCCTTATCAATTGGCCCGGCACGACCCACGACCCACGACCTCTCATGATTGTTGTTGGATAAAGGGGTGGAACGCTGCCCTCGTGCGATGGAGGATTCGGCTAGATCTGTGATATCTTTGTACAGTGTCTCGAAAGTCTCCTGATCTAGCAATTTCGCAAAGATCGTCCCGAAGTCGTCGCAGAGGATTTGGATATCGTACAGATAATTGCTTATGATAACCCACCCGTCCTCGCCCCAGTATGCATTGCACAGCTGATGAGACTTGGTGACACTAATCGATTGAGCGAACGTCCAGTGTTCGAAGCACCAGTATTTGAGCAATTTATCCTGGTTATCGAATTGACGGATGATTTTTGCTACATGGTCTGCAGCGGCCTTCTGATCATTCCATTTGGTTTTGAGGCCGTTGCCGTACGTGATGACAAGTGTGATCAACTTTAGCGTCCCATTAATGAGTGGAAGTATCTCAAGGCCAGTGACAGGCATTGCAAAGTTTAAGGCTTGTGTCTGGCGGTCGCCTCTCGGTCAGGGAATCAGGCGAAGTCTAAAGTCGACGTTACAGCAGATGGAAACTTCAAGCCCAAATGAAAAGTAAATGACGTTGTCAAACGAGAAGGCCTTCGTACCACGATAGTAAACATAAGTTCGTTCGTTGTTGTATCGAAGGTTATCTTCATCTATATGGGGTATTAAGTGGACGTTAGAGATAGTGATACTCTATTCCTTTACCCACACTATTAGCTATATTGAATATAGCGGCCACTTCGCTATAGTTGAGTACTCTTCTGCTACATTTGATTCAGCCTCCGTTCTATGTCAGAATGTGTCACTTATTTTTCTGCCAAGCTCGCCCTTGCCCCGCATTTTAAGCACTTGTCTGCCGTTGCCTAATCGTGGCTGTGCATGAACCCCCCCCCCCCCCTTCTGGATCAACTTCGAACCTCGACCTTGGTCAGGCAGAACTTGAATATCAACAAATCTTCCTGAGCGTAACTTGGTCGTTGTGATGTCGCAGGAGGCCGCCACTGCGGATCTGAGGGCGAGTCAGTCAACACCAGAGAAAGTCAACCCTTATTCAAGTATCCAGTCAGTTCTTAGCTTTGAAGAGCCTCAAGATCTCCAAAATCAAGTATCCTCAATTCAAGCGGCGACGTTAGCACTTATCTGGAAAGTAAGCGAACGTCGAGAATACCTCGATCATGTTCAACATCAGCGTCAAAACATAGCCAATGCCGTCAAGGAGTTGGACATACGGTTGCACATATGGCTTTTTGACCTTAAAATTGAAGTGGCTGAACTGGATAATGTGGGAGATAGAGGAGCAGACTTATATCGAATTGCCAGGGATTCATGCGAAAGAATAAGAAAGGGACTACTCCAAGTAATAAAGAGGCTGGTGGACGTTGAAGAATCCCAAGTGAGCGACGTTAAAGAGTCCCAGGTGGACGTTGAGGATAAACGCCCAAGTGGACTAGGAGGACGCCATGATAGCAATGTCATCGGTGAAGGTGGCGATGATACAGCCGGCGGGCGTCAAATTGAGATAGGACGCTATCACGACCAAAGCACCTCAGATGAAGACGACGACAACAACCAGGCAGGCAATGATCAAGAAGGAAAGGCAACTTCGCCCGAGCAGGTGGCTTTGCAGTCTTGTGCCTCAGCACATGCAGCTTTGCTGGACCTGATTACTGTCGCAAAAGCGCTCAAGGAAATACGACTCTCCGAGACCAGACGTGGCACCGAATACTATATAAAGAAGAAGATAATGGAAATCCAACGCGGCGTTCTAGGGACAGACCTACGTTCTCAACCGACCCAGGCCGACGCACCTATAGAGGAGCCCAGTCAGAGGATCGACACCAAGCACAGGAAACAGGTCAAGACGATATCAGAACAATATGCCGAATACTTCGCGCACCAGCCCGAGGGCATGGCAGTCTACCGAGGTATTGACAGCACGATGCTCAGGCCGGGCATGTGCGGATACTTTGATGTCAACGGCGAGTGGAGGACCATAGTTGACCTTACCGACTCGTCCGATCTACAAGCTCGGGGTCTACCTGATGTCGGTCAGCTCACATGCTCACTTGAAAAAGACCAAAACCAGGAGAATTGGTGGATTCGGAGGTCAAATGATGTGGTGCAGAAGCAAGTTTCCACCCCTGCAGCTGTCGAGTAAGTCCCACACATCTGTCAAGGACTCCAGGAAGGTTTTGTTAGGAATGAAGCATGGAATCTGACGGATTGCAGCTTCCCAGCACCAGGAGGTGTGCCATATAGCTATACAGCAAAGACCGACAGGGGAGGCGCCATCCTCGTGACAGATGGGCAAGTGACGTGTAGCGAGGTCTCTGCTGCTGGTGCACTACACGCATGGATTGCAAAATACGGTAAAATGATTGCAAATCAGGCCCGAACCCCAAGCTCGACGACGTTTTGGTTGGTAACCAGGACTTACAGTGCTCCTCGCAGGAGGATCATAGGATTGCCATCCAAGGGCACGGCGGTGACGATAGACATCGATGTCAGCACACTGGAGACTGGGAATGTCCGAGCATCTTCCACATGGTGGAATACTCAGCCTAGCCTCAAGCCGGATAGGTGGTACACGGACGATCAAAATGTGAGTCAAGTGATGTTCATCAGAGGCCTTTCTCCTCAAGCACCATCTAATATGTGCTATGCCAGGACAAAGGTATCGTGCTTGCTATGTCTGGCTTTCTGTGGAGGACGCGTTGGTACTCTTCAGAAGTAAAACCCGCGAGTGTCGGGGCGCGCAAGCCGATTTGAAAAATGTCCGGTACAGTTTGACCCAAAACACATCGCAGCATCCGATGCGGCTAGAAGAGGGCTCAATAACGACGAAGTGGTCGCTATATCGAATAAAGCTAACGGCGTCGGTAATGCATGAGGTGCCTCTATTTCGAAAGACAAACGGAATGTTTATTCCCAACGAAGGCCACCGTCATTCTAACCGCGAAGGACTCCGAGCATCCTACTTATTTCTCAGTTCAGCTGGTGGTCTGTCTAGGAGAAAGTGTGTGCAGGATGCCACCTGTATAGAGTGCGGAGTATCAACACCAGATGCTGAGACTAACGGCTCGGCCGAATGCTGAGATTACATAGATGATAACACTTGGCAGAAGGCAAACAATGTGGACGAGGTACTATGTACTGCAATAGGACAGGTCAGTTGTCTAGCGTATACAGATGGAACAAGCATTCAAGATAATTATTAGGTGAGACAGCTGGCCCAGGGAACTTGACACGACGGATAAAGGGATCCTTGGCTTGGGGGGCAAGGAGAACACTAGGGAAAGGAGAAAGGGAAAAGGGGGCATATTAAGTCGACAGGGGCTCGTGCTGAATGGGGAAATTTCATTCTCCCCCGTTTCAGCAAGCTACGTAGCTGTCTTCGGCGTAGCTAGACGCATATAGATGTATCCATTTTCCCTTGATCATCTCCTCTCCCGCCTGCTCTCCACCATCCCCCTTCTGCAAGGGAGGACGGACGCGGCTGTAACCTGACAGTATACATGAGGCTCTCCCTCCTCCCCTCCAATCTCGCAGTCATTCGGGCAATTCATCTTGCCTGGTGCTTCCTTGATCGCTTGCATACACATGCATGGCTTTGGTATCTCTGGCGTATCTTTGATCGCTTCCGAAACAAAACAAAAAAAAAATCTCACAAACGAGTCTGTACATTGCAGTTTCGCCCCATGGATCCCGAAACCGAAAAAAAAGGGAAGGGGGAAAAGGGAGGGGGGAACCTTTCGATATATCCCTTCCGGTGTCGTCTTCACGCAAATGATGAAGCCAAAGTCGAAACATGGGGAGTGTCCAGACATTGGGTTTCTTCTCCATATAAAATCGTGAAGCATAAGCTCAAGGTCTCTGCGAAGTGTCACCCCCGAAAAACCAGAACCAGTCCGACCTTTCGAAACACTTCCAAGACTTTAGAAATGTTCTTTCCAGAACCTGAATTTGACGAGATCGTTACTCGTGGCTTTGCAGGCAGTCTTGATTTCTCTCGCTGCGGCGCTGGGGCCACAGAAATACACTCCCACTGTGGCCTTCATTTGCGCCGTGATGGATGATTCCTTGCCCACGTCCAGATACGTCTGGTCCATGAGACCGTCTCTCATGGCGCCGAAGAGACGCTTGAAGTCAGGCCGACCATATTGGGTCTTCGTGCGCAGCGCTGTCAGGGGGTCGACAGCGTTGCCCACAGTGTTGAGATAGATGTTTGCTGCCGTGTTGGCGTCAACACGTTGCGTGAGGTATGTGTGGATGCGAAGGAATTCTGGACCGCCGACACTCTCGGCGGCTTCGGCGGATTGACGCTCGAGAGAAGTGAGGAGGGTCTGGAACCACTCGAAGGATTCGACGGAGCGGGTGACCCAGAGGAATTCAACACGCTTGAGACGCCGAGGTGGATTGGGCCCCGCGCGGATGTTGTAGATGTGCTTGAGCACTGAGGCCCACGGTGTAACTCCAATACCTGTGCCAATGAGCACGGCGATTTCGTTGTCAAACACGTCTTCGGCCGGTGCACCATAGGGTCCATCGATGCGGATGGCAGGCATCTCTTGGCCACTCTGCAGCGCAATTTCATAGATACCCTCTTTGTCCAAATTGTCGAATTCCTTGGCCTGGGCGGGACCGCAGCCCAAAGCATCCCCTACAGCTTTCGTCCAGTCACCCACCTGGCGGACATGCACTGAGATGTACGGGTCAAATGGGCATGAAGTAATGGTGAAAGGGTGCCATTGTTGGCTCGAAACGGCGGGGATATTGATGAATAGCCATTGGCCCGCCTTGTATTTCATGCTGGGTTTCTGGAATTGGATTTCCATGGCATCGTAAGGGTGGCGGACGACCTTGGTAATCTTGGTCTCCCTTCTTGCACGAACTTCGCGCCAGAGTCGTTCGAAGAGGTAGAGGCCACCAGACCAAAGTTCCCATCGCCAGCCCTCGTAGCCAAGGCAGTGACCCCAAAAATTCTTGCCCGCAAACGGGGAGAAGGGATCGGCTGTGTCCCGCACAAAGCAGCCCACGGCGTGTGTATACATGGCGAGAAAGAAGGGGATGAAAAGATGGTGGGTGTACCAGAAAGTCTCGAAGGATTGTTGTCGAATCTTCTGGTGGGCAGTAGTGTACATGAACAGCATGCACAGCAGCATAATATGACCGGTGATGCCACCCGCCTGGGCATAGTGAATCTGGATTGCCGTCTCGGGTCGGATCTGGTTCTTTTCGACGTTGAAGAAGTTGACATAATGGCCAGTGACATGAACCGTGGTGAAGACGAGCATGGCATAGGCACACTGTCGGTGGAACCATTGTGTTTCGTCAAGAGGTAGCCACCGGAATTTTGGCCTCAGGAAACGCATGAGATTCCGGCACATGGGCAGCAGTATAAGCAAGACGTCCACAGAAAGGACCAGACCAGCTCCTCGAGATATCCATACTGAGAAGGTCAGAGTGTTGAGACCGGCCAAACGTGGATCTGATGCTTGCTTCCACCTTGCAGTTGTGTTAGTTTGCAGATAGGATTGTTCATGCTGTTGGAAGACCTACCAGCCAAAAGCAAATAAACCCCAGTGAAAGCCCCACCAGAGGATGTAAAAAACAATCTTGCTGGGAGCGAAATGGGACTTGAGAGTCGCCATTATTTGGGTCAAGGGTAATATGAAAGGAATGTAGATGATCTATCGGTGAGATCGCTGACGGATATTCCTATTTCCTCGAAACTATCTCGTCTGCATTTCTGAGAGGAGCCAAGAAAGCTGTGTTGTGGCGGAAGGGAGCGATATGTGGATGGCAGATATGCTGAAGACCAAAAAGAGCGTCGAATCAAGTTTGCGAGTGACAGAAGATTAAACTCGAGCCAGAGCCGCGAGTTGAGGCTTTTGAGAAGAGATCAGATATGGAAAATAGGGATGCATCTGATGTCCGGAGACTGGCAATCCGAGATATTGTGTGCTGACCCAGTCGATCATACGCTGGATCATACGAGAGCGCGGTACTGATGGCAAATTGGCCGATTAGATTCGATGTTACCAAGGATCTGGAGTGTCGCAGTGGGTGGCAATGGTGAAGCAGGAGTTCAAACAAGACAGTCTGCAGCAGTGGTGAGGTTTGGAGAGGGGAATACGACTGAATTAGTATGGCAGATGGATGAGGATTGAGGTCGAAACAGGTTGGGAGTGGGACCCGCGAGATCTGGGACAGGAGCTGTAACAGGAGTAGAAGGAGGTTTGGGGTGAGATATTTCCCGCGTGTGCGAGGGTATAGAACCTTTCTTTCGGAGGATATTGTTGTAGAGGAGAAGATATAAAAGACTCGAAGAGATGTGATTGTGCAAAGACACGGGCCGTGGCACAAGACTAACGAGGTGGTTTACCTGCTCTTGGGCGATGTACGAGCCCTTGAAGATTGATAGATAGAAGTGACCTGTGGTCAGTCGGTGAATTAGTGGAGCTCCAAGCACATCCACCTGCATGAAACCCTGGTCCTGGTCCCGGTCTCAACGCGAGAAGCTCTCTAAATGGGCAATAAATGGACCCTGGGGTCAGGCACCGAGAAAAGCGCGTCTTATCTGATCGAGGAGTCTGGGCGGCTATTGGGTGGTGGTGAGGAACTCAAGGTCAGGAAAACGGCCGTCGGAAACAAGATGAAGCTCGAGAGCCACCCGATGGTCGAGGGATGAAAACATGATCTGACAGGTGGGAAAAGGTGGTGGCTGGCGCTGGGAAACAGGAACGTGGCAGCATGACAACCCCGACAGGCGTGGCATGACGGACTGATTCTCCAGCTAATTCTTAGGGAACCGATAGAGGGGTGATGACGGGATGCCATCACGCATCTACTTCAACACCATTCCTGAACAAAAGACAAAAAAGTTGTAGAGCCGAATGAGGGAAAAACCAGAAATGGGAGCTTGGGGGATGGGAGCGTGGGAAGGAATTTTGGCCGGAAAGAGAATGGTGCGTACAAGGTGAATGTGAGGAGACCGCCAAGGACCGCCAAGCGAGCGAAAGCTGAAGCCGACCAGCGTATCAGGAAGCGTTTCGAAGCGCCCTGGAAGGTGCCCTGGAAGTGCCCGGAGAGTTTAGCGGCCCACGGGCGACCCAGGTCACTGGCGGTTTCCCCTCGAATCACTCGCCTATACTCCTTTTTCTGGGCGTTACGGGTGCTTTAGGCTCTTTAGGCTCCTTAGCGCCCGCCCCCAGCTCCCGCATCACATCCATGTCGGTGCTTAATTCTGTCCCTCGATTCGCTGCTGCGTTTCGCTGCTCAGTGCTCTCACCACCACACAGCTCCAACAATAGGCAAAATGGCCTGGATGGATTCCAGATCTCGACACTCCATGCACCATGGAGATGGCCTACTGCTCCCATTTCTATTTTCAGGTGCTAAATCCACCAGCCCTCTCCCAAGTCACCTCGTTCCCCTCCGCACTCTGCACCCACTCCACGAATCATACAACCTCATGGCGAAGATGATCACCAGATCTGGCGAGTACAGGCCTGCACTATTGAATGATATTGTTTCCCATTGCTGTTCTGCATCTTGGACTAAGCCAATAGCTCCATTGACATCCAACGGTCAAGGTAGGCTGGCTTATCCCGGAGCTCGGTAGACCGGGTTGAGCTCGTGGTCTCTTGACCAGAAGCAAAGCACATCTATCTTCCCACGAGCTCCTACATCTCTGAATGCTTTCATTGTTTTTCTCTGAATACTTCTTGTTGACTGAGTAACGTCGATAATCGCTGGATATCGATTGAGATCGACTGAGATCTGTGCGCTCTGGTGGTGCTTGACGTCGAAACTGTCGCAAATCTCCACACCTGTGACACTTTCTGTCTCCGAACCGCCTCAACCACTCTGCAACGGGTCAACACCCGCGACCAATCTCTTACGCGCCAACCCGCCGACTTCAAGTATTCGAGCCTTCAGACACTGCCGGGCCAGCACTCTTGAGGCTCCTGACACCTCCCCTCCGACCGCTGATCCCTCACTGTCGATTGCCTGATCAGAAACAGCTAAACACGCTCTGATACCGGCTTGACCCTCACCGAAATCACCTATTCCTCCCTTTCAAAGAGGAGTCAAGCATTGACCAAGTCTGCTTGACCAAGTCTCTTCATATACCTTCGCCAACCCTGATGCTTCTTTGGTGATCTCTAGGCGCCGGTCGTCAGTTTCTGCGTGCTCCTTTCCTTCGATCGTTTGTTTGGAGAACGACTTTCATTCTTTTTCGGGTGCTTTTCGTTATTCGACCTTTTTCAACAACACCACATACAACCATTTTTGAACCCCAAGACTTTTCTCTTCCTCGACATGGGCAAACTCATCAAGAACCATTGGGCCCGCCTCATCGTCCTCACCGCTGCCGCATACCAAGTCCTAGCTAGCCTCGAAGGCTTCTTTTGGCCCAAGATCTTTTGGGACTTCCTCACCAAGAATCTCGACGGCGCTGTCAAACCCTTCCCCGTCTTGCAAATCATCAATCTGATCATGGCCTTCATAGGCCTTGCATGGGAATGGCCACTTGCTCCGGTGGTCAAGCTGTTGCCGGGTCTCCATAGGAGCATGGAAGCACGATTGGTGGTGTATCCCTTGTGTGCTCTGGCTGCGGCCATCATGTATCAATCAACCAATGCGGCATTATACTACATCATTGGCGTGATTGTATATTTCTGGGCTTATTCAGAAGGCGAGGTAAGATACTTGACCCCATTCATTACAACTCGGGAACATCCTCCTGACATGATACCTACCAGACTGTCTGTCCAGAACCTTGGACTGTTCCAAAGAAAGGCGGTGCCAGGCTTGGCAAAGTATGAGGCCATCAAACAGCTGTGCTGGAATTTTGAGTTTTAAATTTTAAGAGAAGTTGTTTCGATGTACAGGAACAACGGCGTTGGACATGGTCACAGATCGTTCTGGATATGAAAGTCGACGAGACCAGACACAATTGAAGGATTGGACGCGGCACGTATTGCCGGCAACTGTAGATATTACGCCCGACATGGGAAATGAGAACATCACGTCACACAAACTATACACATTTGGATCGTGGTATGCGCAGTATCATAAAAAAACAAATGTTGTCGTCGTCGGTCTAAAAGGAGAAAAGGGGCGAGGCTAGCTATACAGTAGTGCCCGTGCTACCCACGCAGCGAACCTAGGGAGGGAGCCTCATTTCAGGCCCCCCAATGTTCAAGTTCATTTACTGTAGCTGCTAGTACCCGAGAACGCCACCTGAGTACCGAGATGTCGTGCATTAACTAGTCCTTCCTCAACGCTCGTATGTGATGGATTGCTCGTATGGAGTGCTTGGCCTTTCGTTCCTGGACGATACGCTTGAGGAGCTTATGTAGATGGATTTAATCGATCCTGCACGGGCTTGGTATGCATGGAGGATCGTGGCAGGGAGTCGAGAGGATTCTGCTTGGAGGCTTACTGTCTTTTCTGTTCCTACGAGATTCCTTGACAGTTGGCGCGTCTTCTTGATTACCAGATAGTGCATGTAGAACCCCTGAGAGTATCCCAGGACGCCATACATATGGAGCAATGGACGAAATATCTATAGGTGCCGCCTCTGTTCCTAGAACTCTTCCTAGGGCGCGTTGGTGTCCGGATCTTGTTGTCTCATACCACTGTTGCAGTGACGATCGACTCTATTTTCAAAGTCATCATCTGTCCAAATATTTTAGAGATACTGATATTGGTCGTATCCATTCCATTCCCTTGCCTGCTCTTCATCCCATTGTTACATACGCCCGCCGATTTTCTTCCCATCGAACGACATATGGGTATGTTGCAGACCAAGGATCGATGGCAAAAGCAACATTGGACATCTTCGCAAAGCAGAGGTGCAGGCTCGCAAGGCTCGAACTGCGGAATGAGAGATCCTCCTTTTCCAAAGGAGCGGAGAGGTTTCTGTAGGTCCATCATCTTTGTCGCGTGTCCGAGCGGGTGCACGATCCAGAAGCGGGAAGTCAGCTCGCGTATTGTTCGTGTCGGAGTGACCTTCGCGTTGTCGCCATTTGGATGTTGGCCATGGAAGCGGCTGCGATCGCGTTCCTTACACGAACGAACCAAAACCACCCAGTGACAACGACGCTGGTCAGCTGCCAGCCATTGAAATTTTGTCTGACCTCAAACTCCCTTTCAAATGCATCTGGAGCTTTTCATTCTTGCACCAAGGACACATACAAGTAGGCGAGGGGCTTGCAGGATTGAAATGCAGCCCAACAGCCCAGCCGGATCTCGTGTCCGCAGATCCAAGAGACGCCTATCGACGGTGGCTTTCCCGTTTGTGGCTGAAACCACTTGGCGAGGTTCGAAATTCAACAATGTGGCACCAACGCCACAAAGCGCGAGCTGGGCAACGGGACCAGCCATCATCGCCAGACAACAGACGACTTCTTCCATGGCTTCCACGCATCAGGCGACGCTCTCGATTTCTCGCTCGCAGCCTCTGCAGATCCTGTGCACGGGAAATCCATCTAACCTTGGAGACTTGTCGACTCCGAAATTGCGTGCTATCGACGGTTCGTTGAGTTTGCAACGCCAATTTCCTGGAACCCCTGTCGAGGACCACTTTTAAGGTCACCAGTGACACCACAACACGCGCAATGAGCTGGTGAGTGGTGCGAGGCTCTATCCTAGCCGACCCAAGGTTTGTGGCTCTCCTTACCTATATCATGTTCATCGCCCAGCTCCAGATTCGTAATCTATCTTTGTCTGCTTGTCGCCATCGTCTACACAGTCGTTCGTTTGTCTTTGTGTAAGGCTCGCGTTCCTTCGTCGCGCTCCCTAACTCACCTTCGCTCATTACCTGTCCTTCCCTCCAACCACACTGAATCGATCGTTATTCACCTTCAACCCCTACTATATCGCACAATGAAGTCCTTCCTCGCCATCCCCGCGCTTTTCGCTCTTGGCGCCATCGCTGGCTCCGACTCGACATGGGGCTTCACCTGGACCTTCTCCAGCGGGCACAGCACCTGGACCTCATGCACCTATGCATCGGCGAATGCAACCACTGCTACCAGCGCAGCCGCGTCCAACACTGCCTGGTCCGAATGGACATCCACAACATCTTACACGGCGACATACAGCTCCGGCGCCTCTACATGGACCATCCCGACGTCTGTGAGCTATAGCGTGGCTTCAAACTGGACGAGCATGATCCCTGCGCCGACTTCCAGCAGTGTATACAGCAGCGAAGTGGCCCCCACTACCGCTGCGCCGGCTACCTCCGTCGAGGCTTCGAAGACTTCCGCCGTCCCATCTGCCTTTACTGGTGCCGCTACTCCTAACGTCAATGGAAAGATTGCGGGAATGGGTGCTGTTGCCATCGCTGGGTTGGCATTGGTTCTGTAAATGAACCTGGAGCCAAGAAATCCGAACAGCAAAAACCAGGCACAACACTGGAGCGTGAACTCGGAAATGCTTTGTCATCCACGTTTCCTGATCACCAGCCTCGAAATTGTCACAAACGGTCGAGGTCTGCGAGGAAGCCACCGCCAACGACGAGGCTTTGTTTCCCATGTCACCCGACAAGAAGCTACCAAATAATCTTGTCCATGTCTCTATCAGATGTATTCCAGCAAACATGCCAATACGTTGTGTGCACCTGTTGCAGGGCCTGTGTAATCCAATGCAGAACTCCAAGTTCGCTATTCCATCCTAGTTTGAGTCAAGTTCCTAAACGGTCGCCGGTCGCCGGTCACCGGTCGCTATTCCCGATTGAATAGATAGGGACCAAACCACTGCGTGAAGTCTCAATGAGATAACAAAAAATACATTTGGCTGTTTTGCCGTTGCACTGTGATGCTAGTATCCATTGTCCCGTGCGCTGCGAGTAAAATTAGTCAAATCAAGCAGGGCCTGCAAGATCCATTTGTTCAATCTACCAAGATTCACTTAAGTATGATGATGTCAAGCTCGATTTCTCCAAGAGAAAGGTGTGTACGTGCGAGGACGTTGAATTGAGAAAAAGAAGCTGAGGCGGGATCTCACCCAGGTCAAGGGTCAGGCAAGCAGCCTCGCGTCATCTTGCAACGCACCACCACTAATACTCGGGATATAGCGCAGGTTCGTAACGCCATCAGCACTTGCTCAGCCAGGACGCCTACCTACTTGGCTTCTCTATGTAGTCCTACATATGATGCTCGTATGCAGGTGCCTGCTGACCACAAAACAAAACTAAAAAGGTCAGACTAACCTTCTCTATTTGCGTCTTTCTTCCTTGTCACGGTAAGCGAGATATCAATTTGAAGCGACGCTCGCATCGCGGACGACGAGCCTTCCCTTCAAGACGAGCACTACTACTCCACGAAGGGGCGCTTCTGTGCAACAGATCGCGAGATCCACCCAAACTTCCACCCACCTCGAAATAGTGAGCCAGAAATGGAGAGCACGATCAGACCGCAGGCGGAGGGGTTATCTATCCTCGTCGCAGGCGCCGGCATCGCAGGTCTTTGCGCGGCGATAGCGCTACGTCGAGCCGGGCATAGAGTCAGGGTAAGTTAAGAACTGCACACTTTTCTTTTGCTTTTGCGTTTTTTTTTGTATCATGCCGAACACCGCGAGAGAGATGGAGAAAAGACGAACCAAAACTGAAACGGAGGCGCGGACGGTATTTATCTAGATTCTGGAGCGGTCGCCGCAGCTTGATAACGAGATCGGGGCCGCCATCACGCTCGCACCGCACGCGGTCAAGATCATGCGCTCGTGGCGGCTGGACTTCGCCAAAGCCAGGCTCATCCCACGACTTGGGCAGACGTTCATCGACAGCGTAACGCTGGCGGAGCTGGCGCCGACGGACCGTACCGACTTTGCAAGTGAATACGGGGCGCCGTATCTATTCGCGCACCGCGTCGACCTGCACGCCGCGTTGAGGGCGTTGGCGGCCGGCCCAGACGGTTCAGGTACGCCGGCTGAGCTCCACACGTGCAGCACGGTGGTCGAGTACGATGCGGAAAGGGGAGGTGTCAAGGTCGCCGAGACGGGACGCTGGGAGTTTGCAGATCTGGTCGTGGCCGCCGACGGCGTGCACTCTAACGCAGCCTCGCACGTCGTGGGGTATCACTGTCCCACCCGCGCGACAACCAGCACAGTGATCCGCTTCCTGATTCCGACGCGGGAGATCCTCGACGACCCGCATACGGCGCCGCTACTGCGACAGTACGGCGATGGCCACTGCTCGTTCTACCTGCATCGGGACCAGCAGCGCTGGCTGGTGCGGTATCCGTGCCGGGACAACACGCTGCAGAACTTCGGCATGTACGTGGAGCGGCCGCTGAGCGAGCGAGGCTGGAGCAGGAGCCAGCAGCAATGCGGGCCGGACGACCTGCGCGCCGCCATGGCGGGCTTCCACCCTTCCCTTCTCCGCCTCTGCGATAAGACCATCAGCGCCAACACCATCCTGCCACTGTGGCGGTGCGCGGAACGCACTCCCCTACCCAGCTGCCAGCGCGACAAGCTCGTCGTGATAGGCGACGCATCGCACCCGATGCTCCCACACCGCGGCTTCGGCGCCGTCACCGCGATCGAGGACGCCGCAGCGCTGGGCGTGCTCTTCGAGGACTTTGTCCATACCGCTGCCACCGCCACTACCGCGCCGGGATTGAACTTGAATTCCAACTCCACCTCCGACTTGAAGTCGGACTCGGCCCAGCTCTCGGGGTCCGCACGTATGAGTGTACCACCATCTGCGTCCATATCCGACCTGCTCGAAACGTTCCAGAACGTGCGCCTGCCGCGTACGTCGATCGCGCAGCTCTACTCGCAGGTGGAGACGAACAAGGACCCCACCGTCGAGAGGCGGGAAGAGGCGTTGAAGATGCTGCCGGGAGATGAGTTACCTCGTGAGTGAACACACAAAGACAGCATAGTCCATCCCCCCCAATCATTATCCTTTCCTTTCCTCCTGATCGCTCCCCCTCCCTTAATCCCAAAGACCCACCCATCCGATCCCGTCTGATTCCTCACTTATCGCCTGTCACTCGTCACTCGTCACTTGTCGCGATATACTGACCCATAGATCGCTCCGTCGAGCGAAACACGGGGGGGGACAAAACAGAACACAAAAACCAAGTCATCAGCTGGGTTTTCGGATACGATGTCGTCGAGGCGACTCGCCGAGCGAAGCAGACTTTGCTGGAAAAGATCCAGGAGCAGAAGAACGTCTGACCTCTCTTTTGGGGTGGGATGGCGCTGGTTTGCTGGGGCACGAGGCTGCCAAATTGACAAGGTCATCGGGCTGGATTGACTGGGCCTCCACAGTTATGTCGCCGTTACTGGATCCGGGAGCTGTCAGGCTTCTTGGATGAGTTTGGTCACTCGCCATCATTCCTAGTATGAAGCATTAGAATTTCAAAGTAATCTCCGATGGTGCGATAATCGAATGCACGATACCGACATTGTACACATGTCGCCGACGACTGACGTTGGGTGCACTATTTACTTGAATACAACATGTGTCGAAGCCCATCAGCTGATAGAAGCTTCAATATTCCAAGCGGATTGCTCCATCGTTTCTTCCTGCCCGCTAGCCCCTCTTCCACGATCTCCGGCTTCTCTGTCATCTCCTTCGTTTCAGCATAAAATATCTCTGCTGGATCCTCTGGTCCTACCTCGGGCCCTCCTGTATCATGACTGATCTTCTGGCTCTTCGTTCCTCTCCTTGCCAGACCGTGGGGACCTTGGGATATAGACAACTTCCTTGAGACACAGTTCCCTATCATCCGGCTAACCACATTGTCCATAGTATCGACCTCTGGTATCTGATGCGACTTCGTTCTCGCCGGGGTCACCTCGTCCAAACTTTCTTTGCGCACTTCAAAGACGGGTGTCGAATGTTTCGACTTGCTACGTCGGCTCTCCATCGACATTTCGAACGACTTGCGGCTTGTAAGCGACAAACTTCCAGACCGCCTCGAAAACGGCGCATGGATGGATGCCAAACTCAGTTTTCGGACCAACGAGCCTGCCGAGGCTCTGATTATCTGACCACCGCGAGAGCCAATCATTCCTGGATATGGCAATTTCTCCTTTGTCCACACATCATTCAAGGTAGATTCGAGCCTTGCTCGCTCTGACCTTTTTGGTGCTAGGACAACAACCTTGTTGGATGTCATATGTGACTGAGATCTGTTGATGACCGAAGATGATGGTTGACGAAACTCGTGCAAGTCTTGTGGATTGTGTGTGTTGCGAATGATGACTTGACAGATGTTGGCTCGATTTCCCACCGTGGCCGCCCTCTGCACCGAAGGATTCCTGGACAGAGTCGAACTTTGCTGACTGTACACCTGCCCGATAGATCTGAGGTTGAGGCTGATGCTTGAGGGAATCCGGTTCAATAGCTCGTCCATCCTCCTTTCGGGAGCATCCTTGTTTTGTAGGCCATCCTTCCATGCATTTTCCTCTATTGCCGAGCAGGCACTCAAGATGAACTCATGTAGGTGACCACCAACCTCGAAACATATCTTCCACGTGTACAGGGTCGAGTGACATTGAAGTCCCCGACCATCACTGGCGGATTCGATTCTAGTATCCGGTAAATGCAAGAAAGCGATCACTTCGAATTTTGCAGTGGTTCCTGCGGGCAACGCAACGACGAGACTGGTATCGAGCAAGATGCAGAGGGCGTAGCGACCATCGACTCTGTTGTTCTTTGTCTGCCAAGTCACATGCAGAACACCGCTCAACCGGATATTTCCCAACATTCGAAACTGCTCGGCCTGTAAAGATACTTTATCGTAGATCAGCCGCGTCTGAAGCGACCATCGGCGCTGAATCTGAGTTCGAGTCTCATGGTTATCCGTGGCTTTATTGACGGTTTGAACAACTTCTCTCAAACACGTTAAGATTGCTTCCAGGTCAGAATGTGCGCTGGGACAGTCCGCCACGGGTGTTTGCTTCAAGAGATCGTCAAAGAGAAGAGGGTATTTGGTCATGCGCTGTATCGGTTTGATAAGGAGATCACCAACTGTAAGACCTTTCCTTTCATTTTGATGTTTGTGGTCGAGAGCAGCAAGGGACCTTGCTAATGATTCAATTCCTGATTCATAAGTTGACCAAAGTGTGGGAGCATGTCGCTGCAACTCATGAGCAACGAGACTGTGATTGGCACAATACTCCTCATAAACCAGGAAGTCACTCAAGAAATCCTTAAAAATGGCCGCCACATCAGTAACATCTCTTGGCTCAGCTCCGCCTAGGTACGTCCGGCCGCGGGATGCTTCGGATGATTCCATGGAGCTGCGTGTTCGCCGATGGCTGCGACCCATCTTGACCGCGGCACTGGACTCGAGGCTTTTCCACCGTTTACGATAGGGAGGTGATCCGAGATGCCGGGGTGAGGTGGTGTCTGCCCACTTTCGTGCTGCAGCCTCGTACGCGGCCTGGTGCAATCGTTCCAGGAGTCTTTCATGGACAGAGAGAAGATCATGGACGTTCCTTAGGACCGATGTCCTGACCCGGCCTACAACCGTCATCGTTGTTGCCAGGAGAGTCGAATGTAGGTAGATTAGTGCCTTCAAATCAGCGATATAGCTCTCCTCACTCGTGACTAGCTCCACAAGAATTTGTCTCCTTTTGATGGCTCTTCTGAAGGCCGCCTCATCCACGGATGCTGCCGTTGGTGGACGGTCACTCTCCATTGAAGGCCTCGCGCCCGAGCCAAAGATACAAGAACTGTCTGTTGAGCGACCGATGCGGAGAGACCGAGGAACAAGGCTGAAGCTTGCATTGCTGAGACTCGCTGTTTTCATCGTATGCACGAAGCCCGATGATGCTGTGGAGTGTCTCTTTCGGTGCGAGACGGAGTGCGGCCCTGTCTTTGGCCCGTCTTCGGTGGTATCCACAAAAAATGATGTCTCGAAGAGAGATTGAGAAGGCTCATCAACAGCGCTAAACCAGTCACGGGTGTGTTCTCTTATGTGCGTAATCAGATCTTGACTTTTTTCCTGCTCTGTGGAGTATGGTTCCGTGAACAACGACGTGCGAAGCTGATGTTGTACCCGAACTCCTAGGTTGAAATTATGGCGCAGGCCGGATGTGCGCTTTTCCTCGTTATGCAGTTCTGCCAACGGTTGGCGTGCCTGACTTGTACTAACAAGATACCTCTGGGTAGGTTCGATTTCGCCGCGCGGGTCTGCATGGCTGGGCTGGGCGAAGAGCAATCTTGCGTCCTGGACTCCTGGCAGGGAATCGTAGCATTCCGAATGTACTTTGGGGCCGTTGGTGGAAGACTGCACTGAAGTTTGACGAACTAATCCTCGAAGGATGTTCTCACTGCCCAGCAGATCACGATCCGCTTTGTCTGTCTGCGCAGGAGCCGATGCAAAGGAGAGGACAGAAGAGGAAGATGCTTGAGAATCCTGATGAACGCAGAATGGCTTCAACGAGGCCGAGGAGATGGTTGGGCGGGAAGAATATGCTGATCGGGAGGCACAATAGATGTTCGCTCTGGTATCGAAATGTCTGCTGAATGGACTCGCAATAATGGACGGCAAAAGCTGAGCCGTCATGATTTATCATAGAAGATAAAGTAAGCTCGCAAAAGATAGGATCTCAACAATGGAAGACAAAATGAGAGCCAACGGTCAAAATTCCCATCTGAGGGACCAAACGACCAAGTTTGAAAGGGTTCCCAAAAGTTGAGTGATAAGGCATGGCAAAATTGAGAGTGAGAAGGTCGCTGAAGTCACAGAGAACTTTGGAACGGCCAGTTTCCAACCTGGCAGGTGAAGGAAGGTGGTGTCCAGCAACCGTTAGGGAGAAGGAGCAAGACTCTGGTCATGGGACGAGTCGAACGCATTTCTCTGCGCTATTCGTGGCACAACGAATCGGTTCCTTACCTGGATACTATTTTTCAAAATTCGATGAGAGCAAAACATCACAATGAAATTGTCTGTGGAACATGGGCGTCGAAGCCACCGAATGTTCAAGTTGCCATTTGTAGCATCAGAGAGCGAAATACATGCGGCAAAGCGGCCAGCATCTGTAAAGGACTGGATAACAGAATTACCAGAGCCTTTCGATTGAAAGATAGGGATCATCTTGTGAGGATGCATTACAAGATGATCAAGACTGGAGTTCGTGATTGATTCAAGTGCAGAGCACAGAGCAAAGTACCCAGCAGTCATGATGGATTCAATCGGAACATCTCCGGGAAAACTATGATCCCTTCACTCGCTCCCACTTCTTGCACTTCTCCAATCTGTGGGTGGCTCCTATTTTGCACCTACGCGTTCCATGAGTTGCCTACGCTCGACATGGTCCCTTGCCCGAACATTCGTGTTAGCTGGCTTGCTCCCGTTATCCTAGCTGTGCACTTGATGAATGACCATGGGACTCCCGATGGATCCTAATCTCGCAGATATTCATGTCCCAAGCGGACCTACGTCCATCCACCAGGCCGAGTCGTTCGAAGGTCTCACTCTACATCAGCTAATTGCACGCAAGGACAATCTCGAAGCAGAACTGAAGGCTTTGGGTGCAGTCCTCGACAGCCATGGAGTCACCATGCAGACAAGTCTGACCACATTTGATGGGTTTCCGAGATCAGATATTGATGTGGCGCAAGTCCGGGTTACAAGGGCACGCATTGTTGTCCTCCGCAACGACTGGAAAGTTCTGATGGACAAGATCGAGAAGGGTCTTCATGAACATCATGCCAAGTACCAAGCCTCGGACGAATACAAGAACTCACTGAATCAGCCCCGATTACAACCAGAACCTACTCCTACTCCCGAGCAAACACCCTCCGTCCCTGAGACTCCATTTGCAAAGGTGAACAGTGTTGAGCCCGGCAGTCCTGCGCACGAGGCTGGTTTGAAGACAGGCGACCTAATCAGAAGATTTGGCACCGCAATATGGTCAAATCATGAAAGATTACGCAAAGTTGGGGAAGTGGTGAGCCAGAACCTGGGTCGACCCATCCTGGTTAAGGTCTCTCGTGGCACAGGAACAGAAGCACAAGAGATGGACTTGAGATTGACTCCAAGACAGAATTGGGGCGGGAGGGGTACACTTGGGTGCCACATTGTTCCCTTATGAAGTCCATGGTTGGAATGCGCTACGAGAAACCAGGACATGAATTCACACAGGATTACAGGGACGACGGGACCTTATGCAAACTCAATAGCAATCCGCAACCCGGTCAGAGCCGGTGTCGATACTGAAGTATAACTCACAAGTGAGCAAGTGAGCCACAAAAAGTGCAAGGATATGAGGAGAATCGCGGATAACGAACGGCAAGATGAAATGCGCTGTGGCTACTTGGGGAACAACGGGTGCTTTCTCAGTGTGCGAATGATTTCCCAGATGAAGAGCTTCTAATTGCCACCGACAAGACATCGATGGATCTCAGTCAAAGGCAACTTGTGTGAAGATAGAAGGCCACTCATGTTGTAATAATAGTTCTAGGTGCTCGATTCGACAAGTAGACTTGGGTCGCCCTCCATCAGTGTTCGGTTACGGAGGCAAACATGTGTCGGTCACGTGCTCTGCAATGATGCAAAAATCGCAGTGATGCCGCTGGAATACGCCAAGCGCTGGCCTTGAAAACAAACCGACGCCTTCAACTTGCGCTTGCCTTCACTTTCCCCAAGATACCATCAAACATCTTTCTCTTCATCTCTCCCCACTACCTTTCTTTGATACAACACCACTCTCAAAACCGTAGTTTTGGTGTAAACGCAACATTTTCGTCGGTATTCCCCTCACCCGACTTCAAAGATCCCAACAACACCACAATCACAATGGCGGAAGCTGCTCAGAACGTTCCAACCTTCAAGCTCGTCCTGGTCGGCGATGGCGGTACTGGAAAGGTAAGGGTCATTGAAAACAAAGTCTTCTTGTCGCTCGTTTGAACATCAAGAAATGAACGTGTTTGCATATCACAATACTGACGGTTATCATAGACCACCTTTGTCAAGCGCCACCTGACGGGGGAGTTCGAAAAGAAATATATCGCCACCCTTGGTGTCGAAGTCCATCCTCTAGGATTCTCAACCGTACGTCTGCCAGATGTCCAAAGCGCATACAGTTCTAATTTCGATTCAGAACCTTGGGCCAATCCAATTCGATGTGTGGGACACCGCAGGTCAAGAGAAGTTTGGCGGTCTTCGTGATGGTTACTACATCAACGGCCAGTGCGGTATCATCATGTTTGATGTCACTTCAAGAATCACATACAAGAACGTTCCCAACTGGCACCGTACGTCGAACCACCTTGAGCACACGATTAGAAGAGTATAGGTCTGACCAAAACTGCAGGTGATCTTGTGCGCGTCTGCGAAAATATCCCCATTGTCCTCTGCGGAAACAAAGTCGACGTGAAGGAGCGCAAAGTCAAGGCCAAAACCATCACATTCCACCGCAAGAAGAACCTTCAATATTACGATATTTCCGCCAAATCCAACTACAACTTCGAGAAACCCTTCCTCTGGCTGGCCCGGAAATTGGTCGGCAACTCTCAACTCGAGTTCGTGGCTGCCCCGGCTCTTGCTCCACCCGAGGTTCAGATCGACCAGGCACAACTCGACCAATATCACAAGGAGATGACAGAGGCTGCGGCAATGCCTCTGCCAGACGAGGAAGACCCTGATTTGTAAGCGATGACAGCCAACACCCTGCGTTTGGGTTGCGCTGTTGTGAATCAGAGGATATCGACGGTCAAGGAACTGGTCTAGCGAGACGACAGAAAGAAGGTCGTGCTGTTGCCATCATATCTAGAATGAAGGGGGATGGCTGGTGTGGACGTGTCAAGCCTTTGTGGCGGAGGCATCCGCCATCCTGGAAGTGATGTTGGGAGGTAACGGCGGAGTCTTGAGGAAGTGATTCAATCAGCTTGGCAAGTGGTAGAGGAAGCCAAAACGAAGTAAATCGCGACCTTTCCCTCCTCCCATGCGAAACGAATGGCCATTGCGATAAATTATCTGGAGTGTGACTGCTCTTAGCTTTTTTAGACTAGTTTTAGCATAGCGAGATGAGAAAGATCATTGCTTCAAACCAGGCTAAATTCATGAGACTTGATCGAATTTAACGTTACTCAAACGACGCCTGAGACGAATCTGAATGTTGTTTTGGATTATATACATGGCCAGACTGGATGTAGCGGAGTACGAAGACTGTACCTATATATACATGCCCAATCCCTCCTCCAAAGCGGATCAACACTTTCCTTTCAACTTTCCCCCGGCGGTGGCGCTAAATGCAACGAATCCCTAAGTTCCCTGCCCGGTCGCTATGCTTGAAGCCTAAGTCTGTTTGCTGTGTATGTATGCGTGTGTAAAAGACAAGATGGAGAATCGAAGGGGTGGGGATAGGTCGTTTAAAACATAGAATCAGAACCAGGGTTGGAGAGGGGGAAGGCTAAAACAAAACGGAAAAAAAACAAAGGTGAAGGGAAAACCTGTCGCAAGATCGTAATGCATAAGCCACATCCACGTCCCAAATCCACGTCCAGTATCCCGTAGCCCCATCCAAGAAGCAAGCAAGTCAAACCATATATACCAACATAGAAAGGGAAGTCGAAAAGAAGCTGAACCAGGACCTGTTATGGCCAGGTTTTGTTCCTCGATTCCCGATGCGGCGCCGTCCAGCATGAGAGTTCGCTCACGAAAACAAAGTGAAGGCGGCACCTGCCTCGAAGAGAGGAGCCTCACGAAAAAGAAAATGGTCCCCAAAGAGAAGAAGGTGAAAAGGGGATCGGATCAATAAATGTCGACCCTTAGGAACCTCTCCTCCTTGCACCGTTCTGTGAGGATTGGATCTATCCCATCGTCGTCGTCTCTGTCGTCGTCGTCGGCGTCAGCCGCGGCCTCGGTGCCGTCTCGCCGAGGTGAAACCTTGACCTTTTGTTTCTTGCGGATACGATCGTCGCGGTAGCCCTCAATATCCAAGCCGACATTTCTCATGACGGCCAGCATCGCCCGGACGTTCAACCTGATGGCCTCAACCGGAGACTCGGCATTCATGAGATACCTCGTCAGGTTTGGGAAGAGGACGCCGAAATCCGACTGTGACAAGTGTGCGGTGTTGGGGACCAGGTAGAGGTGAGGATCTAAGGGAGATGGCGTATTGGGGTTCGGGGCGACGGAAAATTTGGGGAGGTCTAATGGGAGCAGTGAGAAAGGGGAGAAGGATAGGTTGAATTTGTCAGGGTCGTCATCGTTCACGGAGGTGGTATTGGCGTTGACCTTGACGTTGGAGACCGAGGTTGTGCTGGAGACGCTGTCGCAAGTGGGCGATGGGGAGGAAGTGCGGCTGGGTTGTGCGGATGAGGCAGGCGTCGATAATGAGGATGTCGAGTCCGACGGCGAGACGGTCGAGGAAGTAGTGACGTCGCTGCATGTGGATGATCGAGATGCTGAGGCGATTTCCGAATCTGCCTCTGCCTCTGCCTCTTCGTCTACTTGTGAATCCAGCTCGATGCTTCCAGAAAATAGGCCGTCGTCGTCTTCTGGCTCAGAGTCTGGCAGTGGCTGCCTAACCGCTTCACTCATTGAATCTTGGTCGATTTCTCTCCCCATGTCTATGTCAATGCCTTGCGCTTCTAACCCTCCTCCCCTCCATGCTTCAAACCCGCTACGTCTGTTTGTCATTATCTTGTCCAATGGGAACTCATCTCCAGGAGTCGCGAAAGGCGTTATGAACAACTCATCCCCATCATCTGATTCTAGATCTACACCCCGATTCGCATCAAATCCTCGACGTGAGGTGATCTCTGGCTCTTGTGCGTCTGGAGGAACCTTGTCTCCCCGCGTTGCCACGAGCTGCGGTTCCGACTTCTGTTGAGGCTTGGCGGATCTAGCAGCTTCGCGTTTCTCCAGCGTGTACATGGCCTCAGGAGGGCTTGCGGACAGCGTGGCCTTCATCCGGTTCAGTAGTTCGGGGTATTTGTAGAATTCGGAAGAAATGATTGCGACGACGTTCGTGGGCGGGTGATTTTCGCCGTCAGTAGTTTTGCGGTGGTAACATGGCAGAGGCTTTTCCCAGAGCCATTTAGTCAATCCGGCGCGCAAAGGCATGGCCCACAGGTCGAGTAACATGACGGGTGACTCTGGTGTGATTTGCCTGACCAGCTCACCGTTATCGGCCGGCTTGTAGAGAGGACGCCAGTCCAAGTCATTTTCGAACTCGGTACCTTTGAGTGAGGGCAGGAATTCGTGATAATAGACTGATTTAACAAACTGGACAGTGGTACAGGCACCGAAAGAGTGGCCTGCCCACGTTACGCGGCCTGGTCGCAGATCAAGAGCGTCTTTTAATGACGCGCCCGCCTTCGATTTGCTCCGCGCCGCAGCGTAGTTGGAGAAGGTCTCGCCGTTATTGAAATTTGTCAAGACGGTGAATAACTGTTCCAGCTCCCACAGTCGTATCCTCAGTTGCGCATTGCGAGCATTGAGGACTTTGGTGGTGGGAGCGTGAGGGTGTCTTTGATAGGGGATTGTGGTGGATTTGCGCCCGTCAGCGGAGCGGATAGGGGAAATAGGGGCGCTGCCATCGCGATGCTCGGGGGCCGCGCACACAATCCCAAAACTGGCCAAGGCAGCGCACACTGCGCTGTAGGCATTGAAATTCCCTCCCAACCCATGGGAAAAGATTACCAGAGGATACTTGGAGGACGCCTCCTTCGGTAATAGTGGTGCCTCTGCTACTGCTGGGATGTTGGTCATGTTGATCAGAAACGGGATGAGTGAGATCAGCGATGAGACACGAGGGCCGGCCCCGAGAAAAGTTGCATATGCCTGGTTCCATTCTCGTTGCGGTGTTGGGAGCCAGGGAACTGACGTCTTTGATTTTGCTTTTGGCGTTGTGGGATAAAACAGGCGAAACTTGATGGTTGTGATTTTGCGCTCCGGGATTGGCGACGACGAGGGGATTTCAGAGACAGGAATCTCCCATTCAGTGGTGCCGACTTTGTGTGGCCCAAAGGGTTCAGGAAGAGCTGGAACTGGGCTCAGCCGTGGAATCATGATGACCAGGTGTTTTCGTTCTTTTCCCCTTTTCCTCCCTCCCTGGAGATCGCACTTGGGGAAGTAGCAAGTGGTCTCGTGGCTGGGGTCTGGACAGCAATTTTGGGAGAAAATGACTCTGCATACAGGCCACAGCGAAGGACTCTAGTATTTACACAGAAGTCTATCGATAGCTAAACGGAAGAGTGGATTCCCTCGTGTTATTGTAAGGTTTGAAGCTCAGTGAGAAGGTGGAACTTTAAGGATAGGAGTAAAGGCACGGAGCTAGTGAAACGCCTCATGATGATGGAACATGGGGGTCGAAATTGTCATTTTATATCAAAGCGGCTTTGTGGCTGCCACTCGCGTGCTCACCTGCTTTGTTCTGCGAAGGATTTTCTCATCCGAGCGAAGCTGATAGGCAGGCACAGTTACCGGCAGCAGACGGCGAATGATATGGCTGGTGCATGTTGGAAGATGGAATAGCGATGTGGTACCTCGTAGTTGATGTCATTGGGGAGAGCCGATTGTCCCTTCGTGACTTGGGCTGCAGTGGTGGCATCCACTGAGAGCCTGGAAGGCATGGAAGAGTTCGGGGAATTGGATGGAACCGGCAAAGTCAGCGTGGCGACAAGTACCAAGGAATTGCAGGGAATTTTCAATTGAGCGAGCCAGCCACTACAAACCACGGGAAGCACAACTTTTTGGGGCGCCCGAGAAAAAGAAAAGGATCCCACACGGTTGTTCCAAGGCACCAATGCACCAAGGAGCAAAGATGCAAGTATTATTACCGAGTACGGAGCAATTGTTACTTGTTTTGTGTGAGTGGGTGCTTGGAGTCGTCGGCCGTGAGAGTGGTACCGTACCTCCTGGTACAAGTATAGTAAGTATGTATCACTCGCCAGGTAGGGAGCTCGGTAGGCAGCAGGCACATCCCCTTCTCACTTTGCTCTCACTTGCTCTCACTCTTTGGTCACTGCTCACCACCCAACCCCACCACCACTGCTGTCAACCACCCGCGTTGACTATGATGATGGTTGATTGTTCTCGAGTCTGCTCTACTATATACGCTGTACCAGTATTTTACTTCTCATGCATGTTCCCCCACAATCGATCAACACGACCAAGTCCTTGACAACGAGGCCGGTGACACATCCTGATCGAGAATTCACGCGACGCTCCGAAAGAATGGAGTCTGGTCCACAGTCGCGGGCCTTCGGGCCTTCGGGCCTTCTCGTATGGTGGCTCGCTGGCCAGACCACGCGCCGAGGGTGCGGACCTTTGGGGGCTGGAAAAATCATCCTGTGCCAATCCCATAAAGCAAGCCTCCGTATGGCAAAAGCACAAATGTCACTGCATGAACCATGATGCTCGTCCCTTATCAATGTGATTGCCGCGGTTCAATGAGGCAAGATTGCAAGCACGCACTCAGCTCATCGTACGCATGGAGTATCCATTCGCGTCAACGTTCCGGAATGGATGATAATAACATCGCGCTGGTCCAAAGGATTTTGGGGGACCAAGAAAAACACCAACACGGGGAATTTGGCGCGTATCAGCCACGAAATGCAGCCAGTTATGCACGAAATATGCACCTCAGGTCCAGCCTCCTGCTTCACCGACTCGTGCGACCTATGGTCACGTCGTTGTCCTCC